AATGATAATATTGTTCATAGTAAACTAAAAACAATCGGCACATAACAGATACTATACTTCTTATTTTTTCTGATTTCAGATCAGAATAAGAACAGAAGAAAACTCAATATCAAGACCCTTAATCCTAATTTCTAAATAAAGTGTCTGCTCCACCATAGGCCTGTACATTTGGGAGAATCAAACCCTCCCTTCCCCGAAAACTAAAACAAAGGGTTCTTCTTCCTCCTGAGTTGAGACTGATTTGTATCCTTGGGCCGGTGATCGTTTCTGCTGTTGGTTTAGTTGGCTTTTATCATTTCGTGGATATGCTGGATTATGTTGGGGTCGTCGATGTAGTGTCCCAGAAGACCTCACAAGGATGCCTAGCGGTCGGCTCGATGGAATACGGGATACGCGATGATGGTTGGTTGACAGTTAGTATAACGATATCTGACTTCTTGCCAGTGGTTGTTGCGGTTGGAATTTGTCCAGAGCATAATGAAACGTTTTATAATAATATAATATATATATAGATTTAAACAGAATAATATTCTATATTTTAGTGTTAAAGCAGAGATCAAGGTAAGCAATAATGCCAAAAGTTGGAAATAAATTGAACGTATATTCTAAGTAATAAATGACACTAACAAACATGTAAGGAAATAATAGACACGATTATGATAATCTTTATAAAGCACCAACACACTGAGTTTTTAAAACTCGTGTACTTAAAATATATTTGAGGCGATAAGAGTGAAAACCTGATATCCAACAACACGCTGAAGCGCAGAAAATTGCATTTGAAGCATATCATTTGTTGCTCTGACAAAACAAAGTAATATGAATATTTTAATGCTTAAATAATGATAGTAGTTATTTGTGAAATTTTTGGTTGGTCAGTAAGTCAGTTAGCCAACTTCTCTCTGACTACAATTTTGTCAGGATCGCATTTTTGCCGGTTAGGAGATAATTAAACTACTTGACAGTGGATTTGAGGACCAGGAGTTACCCACGGTCGGTGTATTAAAAGATCATCTTAAACAATATTAACAGTAATCCATCTCTAAACTTGTTGTTCATAATATGCCCACCCCCAGAGCAGAAATACACCGGCATAAAACTGACTTAAGGAGGGGTCTCAGAATGCAGGAGAGCATATGTTAGGAAAAAAACTCACGGCCTCACACTCATTTATTTGAGTCACTGCCATATTGTTGGTGTTGTTAGTTCAATTTAATACAAATTGATCATTTTTCTTTTGTCAGGCTATTGTTGGCTCTCAATCCTCCTTAATTCAACAATGAATTATTGGATTGAGTTCTAAATAACGACATATTTTGCAAAACTGTAGGGGGAAAGCTCATGGAATTCATTTCAACAGAGTTTTCTCCCTTCCACCTCAGAGAGAATATGACGTTTATATATTTTTAGCTTGCATGTTGCCAGCTAAACCGGGAAGGCGCAGAGCACATTTTAAAAGATTTTTTCTTCAGTATTGTTAGTGGTAAATGTGAAAACTTTGTATATGGTGGCAACCAGAATAATTTTACAACACTTCAGGTAGGTTCAGCTTTATATAGGATATAATCGTTTTTATAAGTTATATAGAAATGGACGCAAGTAAAGAGGTATAAAATTTACTGGTATACTTAATACTATACTTTTAATGCATTTCAACAATTCACATGCTCATACAGGCAACATTATCAAGATATAATGATAAGATTTAATGGTTCTGTCTATAGAAGCGGATAGAATATAATAACATATCTCTTTCGGAATACCCCCTGTCAGTGATGCAGGTCGAAGGGGCTGACATTGAAAAAGCGTCTAGTCGTTCAGATGGGACAATAAACCGAGGCCCCGTGTGCTACAGGCTGTGCACGTTAAAGATCACTCGACAGATGGAAATTGGAAAAGAGCAGGCTAATGTCGCTGTCCTGGCAAAAATTCTCCCGTTGCACCCTGCATGGCGTCGCCCGTCTTCATTAGCCCACAAGATGCAGAAAAGTAGGACGTAAAACTCCATTCATTTCATTTCATTTATTTTGAACGCTAAACATTTACCTAAAATTATGACCATTATCGGTTAAAGGGAAAATTGACGACTCTAATAAATGAATAAGGTTGTAATATTGATAAATTCATAAATTCATTTTACAAACTTAACGATGTATTCTTTCATTTGTTTACAGGAATATGAAGAGTGGTGTGGAAGCAGGGGCCAGTAATAATATTCTTGAGGGATAATCTACCGAGGTAGAATATTGAAATAAAAGTTTGATATTTTCACTTTCGTTTTTTGTATCTGTCTTGGGTTTAGCATCCGTATTAGAAATCGTAGAGAAACAGTTGGAGTTGATTGAGCAGCATGTACATCCATAGAGCATTCAATCAAACGTCTGTGGTTCTTGCAATTTCACTTAAAAGGTAATTCTGTTTTAATTTCAACGTGTAAACTAGGCTTATTATACGTGATATTATATGTATGTCCTTTGTATTGTTTGACCTGGCGACAGAAAAAACCATTTTATGCATCTAATTTTAGAATTGCTGAGTTAAAAAATAGAGGTTTTTGAACTACGGACCTACAACTCTTCACTTTCGAAGGAATTTGTGGGTTGGTCCTAAAAGGAGTAATATTAAGAAAAAGATGGAAAACCCCTGTTTTAGGCTACGATTAATCTGACGAAATTCTTTCACGATATTCATCTCCTCGTCATTCTTGTCATGTCACAAAGAAGTAGACTGTTACTATACATAGATCATTATCTAAACTTGGGACTTCTTGAAAATAGATTTAGTTACTGGGAATTCGACAGGTGGACTATAGCCGGGATCGTCATGACCTTTCTCTCCACCTGTAGTTAAAGGGGCACGATGTTCATACACTAGGCTGCGAAACATTTTTTAAGTTAGATCCTCGATCTAACACAAAATCTTCCAGTTTATTTGTTACCAGTTCCAAGTTCTCCTATACCACACAATTTGATTCTGTATAAAAACTTGTTGAAATTCAATATTTGTGCTTCACTCATTACTACAGAAGCCTAATCTGCGTCATATACACTTAGTTAATAAAATAAAATATTTAAATTACACTTGTTACCTAAGTTATTGTCCGATATTCAGACTTTCATTGTGTCCTGATAATATGGTGTTCCAACTTATGAGGTTTTTGTTTTTTCTTTTCCCCAAGTTATTGAACAATAATCTGACTTAAGCACCATTCCAATCCATTTCCTGGAAATGTGAATGGTTGTTTTGAATTCCAATCATTCATCCGTAATAACCGACCAAACCGGAAGTTGATAAAACCCAATTGTAGACATAATGTGAACATATTGTACCTAGTATTTAACTATTTGTACTGATGGAATGTAACGAGTGGGTATAGAAAATACAATACACAAAGACGTGTCTGATTGAAGTTTAAAATCTACATCGTCACGTTCACCAATATTATCAAGCCCCGATTCAACCTGGTGTGTTCACCATAAAAATAAAACATGAAACTGTATCAAAAATACCAGCAGAGTTAACGGCTAGTAGAAATTGGTCCGTAGATTAAGTTCGATCTCTACAGGAAAAAAGCCCAAAAGCGTTCTGTTCACCAATACGCTGGATGACCACTATCTCACAGAGAGTAAGTGTCTTCTAGCAGCGACAATGTGGACTCATTCACCTAAGATCGAATGCACTGTCAAGTAGACGAAAGTAAAGTCCCTTCTGACCTTCTTTCTAAAACTCGTGAACTAACAATATAAGAGTGTTGTGTAGGTGTGAAGTGGGCTTTAAAGTATGTAACTAATCAAACAAAACAATATTGAATAAAAGATGACTGGATGTTCGAATGATAAGAAGTGATCTAACTAGCCAAGGGTGCGGTTTTCAGTTAACATTTTGTAATCAGTGATAACATTTTCACTTTTTCTTTTCTTAAAATTTGTGGGAACTAAAAATGAAGTACCTTGTTGCTTTCGCGTTGGTTGTTCTGGTTGCTTTGGTAACTGTAGAATCGGCGTCTGTTTGTAAGTAATTATTTAAAAATTATTTTGAAATTTTGGCACTTTGTCAATTGATAGTTTATAGAAGTTTGGGCAAAAAAGTGGCTGAGGCGTATTGATATGAGCTTCATATTCTGCATAATGTGTCGGTTCCTGTAGGAAAGTACCAACCCCTTTGGATACAATTAAACACAACAGGGAATACCACCAAACACAATATGGGGTACTAGTAAATACAACAAAGGATACGATACCAAAAAACACAACAGAGGATAAAAGTAAACATAGCAGGGGATACTAGTAAATATAACAGGAGATGCAAGTAAATATAACAGGGAATACCAACCCCTTTGGATACAATTAAACATAACAGGGAATACCACCAAACACAATATGGGGTAACAGTAAACACAACAAAGGATACAAATAAACACAACGGGGGATAACAGTGAACATAACAGGGGATAACAGTAAACATAACAGGGAATAAATATAACAGAACATACCAGTAATTACAACAGGAGATGCATGTAAATACAACAGGGGAGACCGGTAAATATAACAGGAGATACAAGTAAATACAACAGGAGATACAAGTAAATACAACAGGAGATACAAGTAAATACAACAGGGGATAACAGTAAACATAACAGGGAATAGATATAACAGAACATACCAGTAAACACAACAGGGGATACCAGTAAATATAACAAGAGATACCAATAAATATAACAGGAGATACCAGTAAATACAACAGGAGATATAGGTATATACAACAGGAGATACAAGTAAATACAACAGGGGATACAAGTAAATACAACACGGGATACAAGTAAATACAACACGGGATATCGGTATATACAACAGGAGATACAAGTAAATACAACAGGGGATACAAGTAAATACAACAGGGGATACAAGTAAATACAACACGGGATATCGGTAAACAAAGCAGGTGGTTCTATAAAACATAGCAGATGTAACGGTAAATATAATATATATTTTATTATAGCTTGTAAGTTGGCATCTGAACCTGGAATGTGTAAAGGATACTTCCCAAGATTTTACTTCAATCATAAAAGTGGTAAATGTGAAGGCTTTGTGTATGGTGGATGTGGTGGCAATGAAAATAATTTTAAAAGTCTTCAGGTAGGTTCAGCTTTATTGAAAGGGATATGATTGACATATAGAATACGAGTATGAAGCAAGGGACATGGACATAAGGGTATATTATGTCTAAATTTACTAACTCAATGTTTTACATGCTCACATAGGCAACGTTATAAAGATATACTCTAATATTCTAAATCATTCATTCATTCGGTTTTTAAATTGTACGATGTATGATGTATTCTGTCATTTCTTTACAGGAATGTGTGGAGCGGTGTGGAAATGGGGCCAGTAATAATATTCTTAAGGGGTAATCTACTGAACCAGGAAACTAAGAGATCAGCCAAAATTTACTTAATGAATAAAAACTTAGATGTTTTGTCTTTTGTGTTCTGCATATACCTAGGGTAAATCTTTGGTTTCTTTTAAAATATAAACTTAAACACGTGATCGGTAAGAATTGGTTGATCAATCTGTACATTATGTCCTAGTCCAGATAGCTTTCAGTCTGGTCATCTTCTCGTAAGCAGTGTCGCCGCCATTGCTTGTAACCATCCTGTCTGGCTGACTTGAGGGACTGACAGGGAAAATCGTCCACGCCTTTCGATTAGTAACCAGACGTTCGTTGATGAGGCTAAGAGGGCCTCGCATGGTCCAATCATCTGTGGGTTGATGATGAAAAAAAAAGATGTTCTTAAGCCATTATTTAGTCTAGGTGCTAAATATGTACCAAATAATGCATAGCATACTCTCACTTTAAAAGACATACTTCGGCTATGCAAATCAATAATAGTGTTCAAAGCTTACCGTATAAATCTTGGCCTTCCATATGCATCCATAATTACCCGTGTTTGAAAATAACATTAACCAGTCGCCTTTTCTAATTCCGCAACTGTTAAGTACTGGATAATCAATTATTATACGTTCTCCTTGTATATCCAAATTAGACTTTATCAACAAGAGAAACAGTTCTCGGGTACTTTAGGTTTTGGGCATTTGATAAACTTGTGAAAAGAGCAAAATTACAAGAGAAATATGTCCAGTTTAATTTTGGAATTATGAATTTCACTATATTCAAGGCCCAAATCATCCCATCAATCAATGGCTTAAATGAGAATTTGTCTCCTTTTATATCTATCATATCAAATGTCTGTAACATAGAGTGAGAAATAATTTTTCTATTTGGATAACCTCAGCTCAAAGGGTAAAAACTGTAATGAAACCAAACAAAATTTATGGCTTTGAAGGACACGTAAGGATGCTATGAAATTTGTAACAAGATGGAAACAATAGTTCTCGAAAGTTAAACAGACGAAACTACGTATGGTTCTTACATGGAAATAACACACACGATCGTAGTTCACAGCCATTTTGAATCTCTACATTTACCTTAATTTTTGAATAAGTATCATATTTCAACAATGCCTTCAAATAACATTTAAAGCTATTATTAAGTGTGATTTGAAGGCTTGGTTGAATATAATAGCCTTTATTATAATTAGACTTTCTAAGTCGAGGAGGAGATTCTAAATGGTTTGGAAATACGTTCGTGTGTGTTATTTCCATGTAGTTTCGTATGGAAAGTGAATCACTCAATTTGGAGATTTCCAAACGGAGGAGATATAGTGATCAATCATATTAAATGGACAGAACCTGTATCCTACAACTTAGGTCAAATATTACGATAAAGTTTTGATAGAAGGCAATTTTCAATCATCAGTGAGCTCTGAGCTGAATGTTTAGGAGAGTATCTTCTATAACACCTATAACTAAAACACAAAATGGTAGATCTTATCAAATTTATTTGAAATTGCTTAAAAGGATACTACATGTACCTCATGTCCTAGTATGGACATAAAAAAAACTCCATTGATGAACGAAGACTTATTTTAACCAATTTTAAAAGATTAAATTTTTTGGACATAAAATTATATAAGTAATAAAGATGCAATGATAAACGTATATTACCCTTCACCAACAATTAGACATTTCATGATAATGGACCGTCACCATTAAAAATATGCCTGAAGAGTCATTTTTTTTTCTTCCTGTATAACAATAACCTTCAATTTAATTGTATATTTTTCATTCACCACATAATGCTACATTTAATTTACCTGGTGTCATAATTACACAATTGTACCTCTTTATGATCAGGTTAAACCATAAAACTTAATAATTATTGAATTTATTGGATTTAAATTTAATGTTCATTCTTAGACATTCTTAGAGATCGCCTGGACTCTTTGACGTGGTTGGCTAAAGCCCCCATTTCTCAAAGGATTGTTTTTTTCCTTTCTCTCCGATCTATACCAGATTGTTCCCGATGATTTCTTTTTTGATCGGCCCGATTGTTGTCAAAATCGTCGGCTCGTGGTCGTCTTGGTCGTCTTAGTCGTCTGAAGTTCACTTTGTCTCGCCCACACTCTTTAGCTTTCGGTTGAACCTCTAGCACTCTCGAGCGACGTGTGTCAAAATATACAGCGGCTCCATGCGTCAACATAAGCCCACATTCGGCCACTCTCGCGCAAAGAACGGTAGAAGAACGGCAGTTATCGGTAGCTAAGCGGCCGATCGTCAATTTTTCGCTCGAAGTTGAGTTGTACCTTAGGATACTTGCGCGTACTTTCGCGTACCAGAAACAAATCAGTCGTGCGAGTAACGTCCGTGATTACCCCTACCCATTCGATTTAGGACTATTAGAGGCAGTTAATGGCGATCAGAGTCGATTCGGAACGGCAGTTGGGCCGATCAAATAATTTAATTCAACGGGGAGAATCTGGTCCAGATCGAACCAACTGAACAAAAACAGTAGCCGATCACTTTTCTGTACCCTTCCCTCGGAGTCCATCACTCCAGATCTTCCCCGGAGTGTATAGTGCTCGATAATGCTCTCAGGTTCACGACTTTATTTTGCAAAAATGAAGCCGATATACCAAAATGTTTCCGTTTCCATGATAGGCGTTAAACGTCCACAGCACTTAATAAGGCTAACAAATGAAATTAAACAAGACATATCTGTTTGTATGCAATTTTTAAGTAAATTTTAAGGTGGAACTATTTTTCCAGAAATTGAATTGCATGGTGCTCATGTTCTACAATATACTGTGATAGTGCTGGTAATCATACTTTAGGCTGTGGGGAATATTTTTCTGGGCGTTGGTTTTTCTTTCAATGGCATTGTCATTGGAAAAAATCAAGCTATTATGAAAGACAAAACTTTCTTAGAGTCAGTTCCCATAAACTGTCATTTCTTTATGGTATAGTCACCTATCGAACAACAACAATATTATTTCATATCTATAACATGTTTTTGGTCACCATTTTGAACATTCACTTCATCATTTAAAAGGGTTATGTCGTTAGTTCAACCCTCTATACCTTATTAAACAACATCATATTTCGGGCATGTCATATGCCTCGTAAACTGAATAATATCTGTGATTCTATTTCCCGTAAGGATTGGACAAGTTTTCGGGCTGCAGCTCCAGAGGCAGAATTAAAACCATACACATACAACAGATTATTAGATGCCGCTTGGTCACAGAATACTTACATTTCCTGTAATACGGGAATTAATTAACTCCTTTTCAAAATTCTGTACACAGCAAAGTCTCTCTGGAATATGCCCCACTCCAAAATATCATGTTGTCAAGTTTATTGCCTGGCTGCCACTTCGTAACCTGTCATATTAGACAATTACTGCCGTTGTCAGTAATTGTAAAATAAGAGGTTTAGTGGATACTAAAGCATTTTATAATTGAAGAACTATTGCATGAAGCAAAGAAATTAAGATACACGACAGATACAAGATTTCCTACTATTTCAGACCTTTTTCGAAATGATGGCATTCATTAATCTTCAATAGGAAACTTTATTTTTCTACTTACAATTCAGGCTGCCATCACATATTTTATAGAATGGCCTTCATCTACAATCTACCCTCCATTGTGAAGGAATTCGATCCATATAATGTCGAGACATGTTATGGTTGAAAACCTACGCTCTACAGCAACTTATTATTGTCATTCAGAATACCTTTTGAAGCGAAACTTAACTTAAAAAATACATTAAGAATTGATGGGATCAGTTGCCATTATCATATCAATGACTGCAATTGGTATGAATATCATTAGTAAGTTTGCAAACTCTGCCTTATACCTTGACTACGATAGCCACTCTTTTGTATGACGGAATGCAGAGATTTGATTACAGTCAATAAGAACCCTCGACAGAAAGGCTGTAAAAATTGTGGCTCTAATTGACTGTATTCACTAGCATAACTGCATTTACTAACTTCATTGATGTCTCAAAGGTGGCCATTGTAGTATTGTAGGTGTAGGACGATATTCATAAAACGTTGACCATTGTGAATATGAGCTAATATGGCTACATTGTATGGAAGAGAATATAACCAATCATAACCCGCGACAGAAAGACGTTGTAAACAATATGGCTTTCCGCTTTTTGTAGGTCGAAAAGATTTTTTGGCTCAAATTTGTCAAAACTATACACCAAAATAAAAATATCCAGTCGTTAATTTTTATACGCAAAAAGTTTTTAAAAAGAATCACGTAAGGTTTTTGAGCTCGTTATGCTTTTTGCAAGCTATTAGAAACCTAAATTTAGATGTCAACCAGTCAGTAAAATGAATTAGATATTTTAAACGAGATAATTTTCTTCTGCATCACCGATTCAAAAATCCAAGATAGTGTCTGAATTTTTTTCCGCGGACTCATAACAAAATTAAACCACGTGCAGCTAAATATAAGGCCATTCTGAATTTTTACGTGACTACGCATGCATACATAAATTTATCTCTAAGCAGATATCTTTAGTTACGCGCTCACACAAGCATTTGTTCATTCGTGGGAAAAATTTTTCGTCACGAATGACCAAAATCGTACACGAATTTACTCGCACATGAAAGCTATCGTAAGGAGAAGTGCACGAATGAATTCTGCCTGAGCTGATGGCTCGTGTGTGCGCCGGACTTTAGATACTTTTATAACTCGACATATGACGTCTATGGTGGCCCATGAGCGCCATAGCTGTTTTATTATTTTATT